TTTTTTTTATGCATTTAGCAGACGCTTTTATCCAAAGCGACTTACAGTGCATTCAGGCTATACATTCTTTACCAATATATATATATATATATATACATATATATATATATAAATATACAGTATAATGAAATGCATACAAGACCAACTGAGCAAAAAGTCACTGTTTCTTATCAGTTACAACTGCAACCAAAAATAATACATACTTTCACTATCCTTTTAAAACATTTTTAGAAAACTCAAGCAGTCTGTTTCATATCCTTGGAGTAAAATACATGTGCTCACTTGTTAAATTATGAATACACATGCATTAAAAATCATTCATAGTGCATCCTCTTATGCATCAGGAGACTGTTGGAAGAAACAGAAGAGTGCAATAATAAAGTTCATTAAGAGAAACCATTCATAATTATTATTAGACGCATAAAATGTTGCAAAAAGCACAGACAGAGAACTGAGAATGCAGAGAGGCAAGAAATAGCATCATTTAATTGAAGTGAATCAGTTCAAAGTGGCTCTAAATATAAAGGTAGCATGACATTCAACAGTAGTTTCATAATCCTCATTACCAACCACTTCTGTGGAAAAAAAATTGCCCTCGGCTGCAACTTGTGCTGCTTAACCACCGATGTCCAACACACTCATTATGAGCCATTCGACTACTAGCAGCTACTCAACTACCAGTGCATACTACTAACTCACTGCAGTCGGTATAGAGACACAGAATGGAGCATTTCAACAGATTCACGGCTCCTGCTTCGGATAAACTTAGGTAAGGCAAACTTTAAACAATTTAGTTTCACTGTTATCTATGCATAAGGAAGTCGCCTGCGCTCAGTTTCAGTCGGACTACCACTAGTTAAAGATTTAGGTTTCAAACAGTATTTCAAACACTGCTTTTTTCAATAAATCAATACATTTGCGTTTGGTCAATCTCTGTGTGCATGCAATAGAAACACAGCAAATGATTGATCAATTAAAATGTTTTATTTTTTTTATCTGGATCTCTCAAAACTGGCAGGAAGCTTTTGAAATGTCACTGAAATCATTATTTATAAAAAGTACATCATTAAAGATATAATCAGCTGGCCAACAATACTTGATGAAGCCAATGCAGGTCAGTGAAGGTCGTATTGATTGATGGATTTATTGAAGTTAGTGAGTTCATGGCTGGAACTGTGTTGAATTTCTACGCTGCGGTGAAGCGTTGTGAGGACTGTAATTATATGCATTACATGTCTCTCCTACACAGACACAGACGTGAAGCAGTTCACTTTGAATCTGATAAGCTGTTCAAACCCACAACTCAGGCTTTACGCTTGAACAGAACGTCTGAGAGCCTCACGAAGCTGATTAATGATTGCTTTGCAAATATCTAACTATTGGTTATCTATCTATTAAAGTTCAAAAGTGTGATTTTTTTAAAGAAATTAATACTTTTATGCAGCAAGGACGCATTAAATCGATCAAAAGTGAGAGTAAAGTAATTTACGATGTTACAAATTATTTCTATTTCAAATAAATGCTGTACTTCTGAACTTTCTATTCATCAGAGAATCCTGAAAAATAAAATGTATCACAGTTTCCACAAAAATATCGGGCGGCGCAACTGTTTTCAACATTGATAATAATCAGAAATGTTTCTCGAGCAGCAGAGCAGCATATTATACTGATTTCTGAAGATCACGTGACACTGAAGACTGGAGGAATGATGCTGAAAATACAGCTGCGCATCACAGAAATACATTACAATTTAATATATATTCATATAGAAAACAGACGTTTTAAATTGTAATAATATTTCACAATTTTTACTGTAATGTTGATCAAATTAATGCAGCCTTGGTGAGCAGGAGAGTTATTTCTATTAAAAATAAAAAAATAATAATAATCTCACCAACCCCAAAATGTGCTTTTATTAACTCGTGCTTGTTTTTTTCAGGCAGCTCCAAAAAATGGTTCAAGACATAAAAAAGAATGACGACAGCCTTTTCAACAGACTAAAAAGGTGTGTTATATTCTACATACTTCTTCATTAATTGAAACACAACAGGAGAAGACAAAGTTATCAAAGTTATGTTTTGAGTTTAAGACGTGAGGAAACATCTGGTGACCGTCCTCAAACACATTTCCTCTCACTTCCTCAATTCATACCCAGCAATAGTCCCAAAACGCTCATTAGGTGTGGCGTGCATGACTGAAACGATATCAAATTTACAGCAAAAGCAAAGCAATTGTTATTAATGAAGGAACACCGGCTGTAGAAAAACACATACGTGTTCATTATTGTAACACGATAACCCAAAAGCAGTTTGAGCACATTTTATGTTTATAAATGTGATTATGTGTGATGTTTGCCAAGTATCACTGATACTATTGTTCATGCTTACGGTTTAGGGGTTTTCCGAAACCTTCAATACCAAGCTCTAGTGCACTAATGCATTGCATTTTTGTTCCACACCATTTGTGCTCCAGATTTTGATTCCTCAAATCATGCGGCTTGTTGATGAACGGTGTGCTGGTACTTTACCCAAGAAACTAGATTTACAAGTTTCAGCAATAAAATACACCTAGAATCTTGCAGATGAGTTTTACACAGGCAAACCCCACTGATATTTTCTTTAGGAAGCGTAAAACACTTTAGCAAATGATAGATCAATCAATCAGAGTTTTGCCCTACATCTTGATTTGCGAAAAAGGCCTAATATTTCCTAATATAATGTCAATAAAAAAACTGAAAGATTTTTCAATGTATATACAATGTATGTATCAGCTTTAATGCATCTATCAGAAAAACAAAAGCTGACAGCTGAATGCCAGAAGTTTGTTTTAATGACAAAAAAAGTACTAATTTAACTTACAATCTTCAAAGGAGTGGAAAAGGGGAAAGTGATCAGGATTAGGCCTCAAATAGTGCAAAAGAGCTGAGAGTGGATCAGATAGTTGTAATCTGCTCAGATTCAGACAGGAATCGCGTGTTTGTGGCGTGTTTCTGCTGATTAATGGAGAATGCAAGACTTCTTCACATTACTGTATACAGTTGTTGTCAAAAGCAGAAATGCAACAAAATGCACAGATTTCGCCAGAAAGTGTGCTCCAGCAAAACAGACACTATTTTTGGAATCAGTACCTCAAAATTAGTTTAAAAAATATACATATATTAGATTTCATTCGGCAAATATGATGCAGGGCCGTGTTATTCATCAATACACATAACTGAAATCTTTTGTCTCTTAATGTATTCATTTCTAAGGTTTCAGACTGAACAAGCAGCTAATATTCTCAAAACCGGGAGAAATACACTGGACCGGTATGATCAGTGTCTCACTCTGTTTCTGTTGTGAATCCTGTTGATTGATGCTTCAACCTTAAAACCAAGCTTCTGCTTAAAAAATAAAATTTAAAAAAGCTTATTTGTAAGTTAATTTTGTCTTATTTGTAAATGTAATTTAATTATTTAACTTATTGATTGAATTAAATTTTTTATTTATTTTAATGTAACTATTGAATTCAATTAATTTCATGGTTTATTTAAATTATTTAATTTATTTTATAATTATTTAAATTAATTAATTTATTTTAATTAATTTAATTGTATTTATTTAATGATTTAATATAATTATTTTTTATTATTTAATTTTAAGCAAATTATCGTGCTTAAAAGATTGATCAAAGCTCATATCAGATCCTCTCTCTCTGCATAAACAACAAAAAAAAGTATGAACTGGCTTTAACTTTTCTATTGTCCTCTTGCATTATCAGCGCATGTTTTTTCTGTTTAACACTGTAAAGCTGCTTTGACACAATCTGTATTATATAAAGCGTTATATAAATAAGGCGACTTGACTTATGTGACGAAATGGCACCACCGTAACGTCTACGAGAGCTTAGACTTACTCTAATCTGGCCTTTAACTTTAACAACCGCCTCATTATTCTGTGTCCTGCCGTTGTGTGTTTCTGCTTTCGTATGTTGTAGATTACATGTAATTATGTGCTTAAACGTTGCTGACAGACGAAACTCAGCATTCTATCACTAATCCACAGCAATGAACTCTGAACAGCTTTCTGTGTTTTGGGTTGCTTTTGATTTTGTTTCAGAATAAAGAAGAAAAGACCCCCGAAAGTACCAGTACGAGACTATCAAGGCAAGTTCAAGTCTGAACTAGAAAGTGAATGTGCAGCTGGAAAATGTGCGAGTATTTTTACCTGATCCGATCCTTAAAAAACTGCCTTAGCTGATGTAACTCAAGGCAGTCGGGGGAATTTTCAGTACATTTATGGACCATCAAACCACAATCATATCTAAGTGAAGGATAAATGTTGTCATTTGTATTTTTAGCTACGTACCTCATGATCATGTTGTCACTTTTCAGGCGAAGCTCCGGATTCTGAGAAGGACTCTGACTCAGATTTTGTAAGTGCATTAGTTTACTCCAGTAAAAGTCACATGCTCGCTTACAGCAGAACTTTTGCAAATGTGATGCTGAATGAATGTAACATCAGTAATAATTTAATGCACAATGCAATAACTGTAGCCCATGCGCATGCAATTCAATATTCTACCTCAAATATGTATGAAAACCCCATTTTACGCGAACTGAAAATGTCTGAAAGCTGATGGGTCTAAGTAGTGAAATAACATTTGAATACAATTTTATATTAAAAACTGAATTTGGTGTAGAAACGATTTTCACTCAGAAATTGCTAGTACACTTCACAAACAATTTAAACATTTAAGCAAATATAAAATGTACAAATAAAAATGAAAACGGAAAATAACAAAAAAAAATTAAACAGAAAATATAAAAATAAAAACTAACTAAAATATTAATAAAAAACTAACTAGTTGCCAAGGAAAATGAAAAATGAAAACAGAATATAAAATAAAAATGCTAATGAGAAAAAGGTTAAAAAAAATGTACAAACAAATATATATAAATAAATAAATAAATATATATATATATAAATTAAAACAGAAAATAACAAAAATGAAATAAAAATAAAAACGCAAATGAAAAAATTTATAAAAAATAAATAAATAAAAAATAATAATAATCAAGTTTATTTGTACAGCGCTTTTCATGATACAAATCGTTGCAAAGCAACTTTACAGCAAATTAAGTATATATATATATATATATGTATAAATAAAAATGGAAAATAACAAAAAATTAAAACAGAAAATATAAAAATAATAAATAAAACTAGTTGCCAAGGAAATGTGCATTACCGTGAAGCACAACGATTAGCGTACGGTGCTTGGCAGTGGTCAAAAAGGATTTACGAAACGACTTCTGCTGGGAGGCTTTATGCGCATGGTGTGGAAAAAAGAATGACGTTCTAGATTCAGATAAATGTTGAAACGACCTTATGTCCTCATGAGAAACAATTACCGTCTGAACAGTAAATTGCCATCCGAATGCATGAGTTTTATCACTGAGGTGCCATCCCCATAAGAAACAATAACATAGCACTTATGAGCATGAGTCAGTTTTGATTTGATGCTGATGTTACTCACCCACATACTCTCCTCTGGGGCTGGTGATGGACGGGCTGACCGTAAAGGCCTTCATGTGACCTTGAAGCCTCGGCGGAGGTTCGTAGTTGTCGTCATGATCGCCCTGAGGGTCCTCGTACGTATCGCTGTCCTGTTAAAGTTAAAGACGTGTATGTGATCAATGCATTTCCCGTCTCTTTATATTTCATGCTTTTACATCAGTTACACTGGAACATCTGTTTGATTGTAACACGTTTTTGCTCATTCATTTTGAAAATGTTTCACTTGAAGCTTAGATATTTCATCTGAAACATCTTTGACATGTCAGCAGTCATTATTGTTTCAAATGCATGTAGAACTTAAGATTTGATTTAATTAGGTGTACATGATAGTGCTATTTTAGTATCATTGAGATTATAGTTATTACTATTTTTATTTACATTTTCATTTTTATTTTTACCGTTTTCATTTGCATTTTTACTTTTACATTTTCATTTTTAAGTAATTTAGTTTTACATCAAAATAGAGATATATATATATATATATATATATATATATATATATATATATATATATATATATCACTAACAAAATGTAAAACTAAATTACTTAAAAATGAAAATGTAAAAGTAAAAATGCAAATGAAAACGGTAAAAATAAAAATGAAAATGTAAATAAAAATAGTAATAACTATAATCTCAATGATACTAAAATAGCACTATCATGTACACCTAATTAAATCAAATCTTAAGTTCTACATGCATTTGAAACAATAATGACTGCTGACATGTCAAAGATGTTTCAGATGAAATATCTAAGCTTCAAGTGAAACATTTTCAAAATGAATGAGCAAAAACGTGTTACAATCAAACAGATGTTCCAGTGTAACTGATGTAAAAGCATGAAATATAAAGAGACGGGAAATGCATTGATCACATACACGTCTTTAACTTTAACAGGACAGCGATACGTACGAGGACCCTCAGGGCGATCATGACGACAACTACGAACCTCCGCCGAGGCTTCAAGGTCACATGAAGGCCTTTACGGTCAGCCCGTCCATCACCAGCCCCAGAGGAGAGTATGTGGGTGAGTAACATCAGCATCAAATCAAAACTGACTCATGCTCATAAGTGCTATGTTATTGTTTCTTATGGGGATGGCACCTCAGTGATAAAACTCATGCATTCGGATGGCAATTTACTGTTCAGACGGTAATTGTTTCTCATGAGGACATAAGGTCGTTTCAACATTTATCTGAATCTAGAACGTCATTCTTTTTTCCACACCATGCGCATAAAGCCTCCCAGCAGAAGTCGTTTCGTAAATCCTTTTTGACCACTGCCAAGCACCGTACGCTAATCGTTGTGCTTCACGGTAATGCACACGCATTTTAAATGTGGACAGTAAAATATTTAAGTATTTAAATATTACCGAAATGCTTGAAAATGTTTACTAGAATAATTTTATGTCGCTATTCACTGAGTGGGAGCTGTTAAGAAGAAGGAAAAAAAAGAACAAAAATGGCGTAATATTTTAAATGGGCCATTATTATGGTATGCAATAAATGTGCATACTTATTTAAGAATAAAAAATGGTTTTCTGTCATGCATTTTATCTCTAAAAAAGGATGGATGTCTTTTTAAAAATACGGAAATTTGCAGAAATAATCTGACCCAGCAATTTGTTTGATTAGTAAAATGATTAGTTGTGCAAGCCCTCATTTAAATAAATGTATATCATAAATATTTTACACATTTATTGCATAATGGTCCGTTTAAAAAACATTTGTGATTTTGTTTGCTTCTTCTTTAAAGCGCCCACTTACTGTAGTGGAATGGCGACGTAATATTATATATGCAAACATTCAGTAAACAAAAAGTGTCCATATTTAAAATGTGGATGTAGTGGTTAAAAACTCAGAGATGTGGCTTCTGTATAGAAATAGAAACTAACAAAATTACCACAAAAAAAGAAGTAAAATGTAAAAATAAAAATGAAAACGAAAAATGACAAAAAAACTAAACATTACAACAAAAAAGTAAAAAAAAAAATGAAAAAAAAAATTATTTTAAAAATGTGAATAAAAATTTGATCTCAGTGATAATAAAATAACACCGTCATGTACGTCTAATTGAATTAGTTTTAAATGTGCTTGGAAGTGATTAAAACTTTCGGACTGATCCCGTCTTGTAAACTCAGAGATGTGGATTCGTAAGAAATTGAATCACGAACTTGCTGTTCTTCAGAAAAACACTGACGTTCTGGATTCAGACAGCAATAAAATCACAGACTAGCTCCTGTAAATGAGAAACAATGTACAAAGAAACACAAAAAGGCTTTATTGTGAATGATTCACTGGTGCACTTTTAATAAAAATAAAGTTTTGCCCAACATTTTTCGCTCTCAATCTCGTCACGTAAAGAAAAATGAGTTGCGAAAAGCATTTCGTGTTGATTTAAAACTCTGTCACCATTTCCTCCCCCACACGTCTTTCCAAACCTGCATGAGGTTCTTCCATCGAGTACAGAAGGTTGTTTTGAATGAAATGTGATTTTCGGAGCATAAAAGCCTCTTCAAAAGTGTGAACACCTTTTGTGTTCAACAGAATCAAAAATGTGAGCGAAGTGAAATGACGTCAGCCTAAAAGGTTCAGTTCTACAAAAGGAAAGTTCTGTAAAGCATGTAAAACCAGATTTCCTGTGTCTCACAGACAGCTGTCGTGGTCGACCGGCGAAACCAAACCATCCTTTCCAAACGCAACAGAGGCACAAACCCCCACGACCGACCCACCGCAGCCTGACAGAGGAAGATGATGTAATAACACTTGTACTATTAACACAGAGTTTCATTTAGCGCACAATAAACTCCTGATACTGAAGCACTCTCCTCCGTTCAGGGCGATTACATTGAGCCGGAGGACGAAACAGTTGATGATAATTACATTGAGCCCATTGAGAAAACACCATCAAGTAAGATGACAGAGGAAGGCCTTTATGTTGATGCACACTGACTGTAAATCAAGCCCTAATGGTGCGTAATGTCTGTTAATAGAGCCGCAGGTTAACAGAGGAGTCAAACCGTGTGCTCCTGCTCGTGTGAACGCTCCGGGTGAGCTTTCATGAGATTATTTCAAGAAGCGCACTGCAGTTTGATTCGATTTCTTTGATCAAATACTCATATATTACACTCTGAATTCTTCTTTTTTTTAGATTTCTATGAGGTTCCTGATTTGAAGGTGAGCTGAAATCAAAAGAGCTTGGTCCAGGTCACTGATGTGATATTCAGATAAAAAAAAAGAGAGAAAAGTCTCATTAGAATCTAGTAATACAATTATGAAAATCATGATTTTATTATTATTAGTTAAAAGTTAAAATCAGCATAAATAGTACAACATCATACATAATATAATATTTTTTATATTTACAATAGTATTTAATTTTTTTTATATTTATAATAATATTTTATAATAACATTTTTAATGTATTTACATTTAAGTTTTTACATAATTTTTTAATTTTTATTTTATATATAATTTATTTCTATAATTTTGGCATGAAATATGACCTGGACAGGTAGTACAACAAGTAACAACATGCATTATATATAATATTAATTTATGGACTATTAATTTGCTTTATAACTGCTCTGACAAAATGCTTTGTGTTTAATTATAGGAGAATGTTCAGTCTAAGACCAGGTAAAACGCCTTCAAAATTAACCCTAATAGGTACCCTAGCAACTGCATAGCAACACTCTAGCAACAACTCCGAGTACCTTAGCAACAGCGACGCAACACCTTCGCAACCGCCCCAGGTACCCTAGCAACCGCATAGCAACACCCTAGCAACCATCCCGGGTACCCTAGCAACCGCATAGCAACACCCTAGCAACCATTCCGGGTACCCTAGCAACCGCAGAGTAACACCCTAGCAAACACTCTAGCAACCACCCCAAGTACCCTAGCAACCGCATAGCAACACCCTAGCAACCATCCCGGGTACCCTAGCAACCGCAGAGTAACACCCTAGCAACCGCTCTAGCAACCAGCCCAAGTACCCTAGCAACCGCATAGCAACACCCTAGCAACCATCCAGGGTACCCTAGCAACCGAATAGCAACACCTTAGCAACCACACGGGTATTCTAGCAGCTCTATCTATCTATCTATCTATCTATCTATCTATCTATCTATCTATCTCTGCAACAACAGCCCTTGATGATTCAGTCCTGAACTTCCTCATGTCCTTTGTTACTGAGACACACATCACATGCTTCCCTGTTCTGCTGTTCTCTGTCAATAAATGCTTTTTTCTGATCAGCAGGAGTAACTCGACTCTACAACCCAACACACAGATAGCGCCACCTAAAGCCAGTCCACGGTATTACACAGTCATTATTTTCTCAAGACAATTACAAACCACTAGATTAGCCCTGCATTCACAGTTACTCAGCACCCTTACAAACATTCACCATTATAACCATGTCAAAATACTATACTAGTTTCTATCAAAATACATTAGATGCATACATACATACTTCTTCAGGTTCATTGTTTTGGTTCTCTAACAATGTGAAACATTTGAGACAATGACAATGTTGACTCCCTTAAACCCTGAACAATAATAAATCAAATCTGCTATAATATCAGGCTGACTATCTAACAGTTCATCACTGCTGATCTTTTAGGAAGAAACCAAATCCTGCTTTGATAGCGGTATGGACTCGTTTATCTTATCTAATCTGTACTATTTAACGGTAAATCAAAGCATTCTGTGACAAACACTTTTCCATTTTTGCAGAAACCAAACATTCCTCGCAGAGACAGTGAAGGTAACTAGCAAAATCAGTGCAAGAGCAATGGCTATGTTCAGAACAGAAGCATATGGCAATATATATGGTGCATTCTGTACTATTTTAAAAAGTAAGATGCAAACCAGAATGCATTATGCTATGATAAATGTTTCAAGCAGTAATATACGACACTGTGGTCATGTGACCTCATTGCATTTGCAATTCAACAAGAGATACCCATTCATGATCTCCGAACTAAATCCAAGTCAAAAAATTTCTTTAATTTTGGTAGTCAAACTGGTGCAGTATTCCTCAAAATAAGCTCTGTTTCATAATGTGCAATTTGTAAGATCCATCCGTGCATAAAGAAAATCAGCATACTGCACTAATAAAATCTACACTATTGGTCAAAGTGATGCTGAATTCCACAAATTAAGCTCTGTTTAATAATGCACAATTTGTCAGATTCATGCATGCATACAGAAAATTTGCATACTTTACATCTGCATACTTTAAGCTAATGTGCAATTCGGCAGATCTAAGCATGCATGCACAAAAATATTGTACTGCACAAATATTCCATAAAGTAAGCTCCATTTCATAATCCACAATTTGGCAGATCCATACATGCATACAGAAAATTATCATACTGTGCATTTCTGATGCAGTATTCCGCAAAGTAAGCTCTGATTTATAATGCACAATTTTGGCAGATCCATGCATGCATGAAGAAAATTAGCACACTGCACGAATTAAATCTACACTGCATTTGGTCAAACTGATGCAGTTTTCCTCAAAGTAAGCTCTGTTTTACCGTATAATGCGGAATTTGGCAGGTCCATGTATCCATGCATAGAGAAAATTAGCATACTGTATGTTTCTGATGCAGTATTCCACAAAGTAAGCTCTGTTTTATAACCCACAAGCTGGCAGATCCATGCATGAACGCATACAGAAAATGAGAATACTGCACGTTTCTGATGCAGTATTCCACAAAGTAAGCTGTTTTATAATGCACAGTTTGGCTGATCCAAGCATGCATGCATACAAAAAAAGTAGCATACTGCACAAATAAAATCTTCCCTGCATTTCGTTAAACTGATGCAGTATTCCACAAATTAAGTTCAGTTTTAAATGCACAACTTGACAGATTCATGCATGCATGCATGCATACAGAAAATTAGCATACTGCATGTTTCTGATGCAGTATTCTGCAAATGAAGCTGTTTTATAATGCACAATTTGACAGATCCATGCATGCATGCATGCATAAAGAAAATTAGCATACTGCTCAAGTAGTATGCTATTCTGAATATAGCCAATGACTTGTAGATGTGACCGAAATGAGAGTTTCCTGCACTTTTATAAAGAGCAATTTTAACTATGACCTTGTATTATTTTAGAGTACATTTTAAAGTTGCCTATTAACAATTGCATGATCTCTGTTACAGCCACATCAATTAAAACAACAGCATTAACTTTACCACGAAGCCCACCAGACACCATGCCGAGCCCATCGGCAACAGGGTTCCATCGAGCCAAGTAAAAAACAGTTTAATTTTCTCCTGCAGGCATAAACTGTCATAATTTTATGAACCGAAGAACTAAACTACAGTCTCCTTTTCTGTTACAGGATGCCTCTGCCTCGGCAGCTTCCCTCTCAGAGTAAGATTCACGCTTTTTCAGTTTGCAATGTACACGTTTTTTTTAGTTGGGGTCACAGTTTCTGGCAACATTGTTGACTTGACTGCACAGACACTATTGGAAGAGAGCTGAACTGAGCTGGACGATGACATAACTGAATCAACAATGAACTGACTTTAACTGATAAACTGACTTGTCTATTGTCCTCTTGCATTATCAGCAGACGCTTTTCCTGTTTAACACAATCTGTATTATATAAAGCGCTATATAAATAAAGGTGACTTGACTTTTTTCTGTCCATAAGGTCAATATAAACATCAAAACTTTCTGACAAAGTCTTGATGAATTTCTTTTCTAGCTGTTGATTAGTATGGTTTTATATTTCCACAGGCAGAGGGATGTTGCCTTCAGACAGCAGATCAGCTAGAGATGCTGAAGAGGTGATTGCAATAACTGACTTGCGTTTACTTCTTTATGTGTACATTTTCATTTTTTCATTTATAGGGTTTGGCTCTGACAGAAAATGAAAAATGCATGTTTGTGTGTCTCAGTTCGCAGCATAACTACTATAATCAAGAACATCTCAGCATGCACTTACAGCGTCTGTCAACTGTCTAACTGTCCTGTTCTCTCACACAGGAAGCTGGTGTGTATAAAAAGGTTTGGTATGCCAGCAGCTGTGACCGCAAGACAGCAGAGGACGCTCTCATACGCTCAGCTAAGGCACGTCACAAGACATGCACAAAATAACACAAAACTAGACTGAAAGACACTGCATAATAAATACCAGCCAATTGCCAGGTCTGCTTGACAAAACTAGCCCATGCCAGTCAAAAACAGAGCAATGACCACATCCCAAATATCAAAACTCAAAATGTCATTTCCATACCTAAAATACATATTTTACAGTCACTGTTATGCACATTGATCATAAACGCAGCTCAAAGGCGTTCTACCAGTGGCCCTCTTTCACAAAACTTAACATCTAGGGCGGTTTTATGCTAAATGTTTCAATACAAACATTTCAGTCATACAATATTTCAAACCTTTAACCCACGAGGGAAAATCAACCAAAATCAAAGTTTAAACGCAGCCCAATTTCCGTGGAAAAAACATGCTTTAATGGTTAAAATATATTTACTGTAGTGGTCACCATGGAAATCTACAAATGCGAGCCTGCAGCACAAAAACTTCAGTCTTCAGTCGCTGGGGGATATTTGTAGCAATAGCCAAAAATACGTTGTACGGGTCAAAATTATATGCCAAAAATCATTAGGATATTAAGTAAAGTTCATGTTCCATGAAGATATTTTGTAAATGTCCTACCGTAAATATATCAAAACTTAATGTTTGATTAGTAATATGCATTGCTAAGAACTTCATTTGGACAACTTTAAAGATGATTTTCTCAATATTTAGATTTTTTTGCACCCTTAGATTCCTAAAAATCCATACATCAATGGAAAGCTTATTTATTCAGCTTTCAGATTATGTATAAATCTCAATTTTGAAAAATTGACACTTAAGACTGGTTTTGTGCTCCAGGGTCACAAATACTATAGTTGAACTATGTTGAAACCATGGTTAAATTTCATAAGGGACTGCCAGTAAAAGGCTGTTGCACACATAAAATGCAACCTTTTTATTCTGACAGTGCATGATTTATATTAACATTACAGAATAGAACAAGATCGATATGAACTTTTAACATTCAGTTTAAATAAATGCATTTGCACATATTATATCATAATGTACTGTGGCTCTTTTGGGAAAATGCATTAACCTAAAATGGAAAGAAAAAAAGGCTCTTTGGTCAAAAAAGGTTCCAGACCCCGGCTTTATAACATCACCAGTTATTACTGGCTGCTGTGTCATTCCTGTAGTGGTGCTTGCAACGCCAAGTTCATGGGTTCGGTTTCCAGGGAATGCATGAGCTGATGAAGTGTTTAAAAGTAAAGCTGCTTAGGATAAAGCGTCTGCCAAATGTATCAACGTAAATATCAGTCTGCTTGAGATGTAATGCTTATTTGTCTGATTTGATTTCAGGACAGCTCTTTTCTGCTCAGGAAGAGCTCTGGTGTGGACGCACAGCAGCCGTATACACTGGTGGTGTTTTACAACAGCCGAGTTTACAACATCCCTGTCCGCTACATCGCTTCCACCAAACAGTATGCTTTGGGGAAAGAAAAACAAGGAGAGGAGGTAAAAACAGACATGGATTTGCCCCAAAAGTATTTGGATACTTACTTACTAAATTCAAAAATTAAAATGTTGTTATTACTTGCTCATCCTCATCTCAATCTAAACTCAATAATATTTAACTGATGCCCTCATAACTTTTAAATAAGCGTGATTTAAGTGTCCAAATACATTCTGGTGTCTATGCAAGCTTGTTTCCGCCGTCGGAATAAAAATAAAAAAGGTTATTGCATCTTTATATCTCAGAATTCTGACTTTTTTCCCTCTTTTTTATCTCGTAATTCAGGCTTTTTTCTCTCAGAATTCTGAGTTTACATCTTGCAATTCTCTTTTTGTTTCTACCACTGAATAAAAAGTAAAAAAAAAAAGGTTATTGCATCTTTATATCTCACAATTCTGACTTTTTTCCACTAGCCGTATAAACTCAGAATTGAGAGAAAAGAAGCCTGAATTGCGAGATATAAACTGGGTGTGATATTTATAATATAAACTGTGATATTTAATATATAATAATATCGTAATTATCAATATGCATGCTGACATTATCGAGTATGTCACTCACTTTGCAAAAAACAAACAAAAGTCCAAAAGCATTGACTGCATGATGCATCCTATTAGAATGCAGCTAGAATTCCCCAATAATTCAAGTTATGAAAGCAAAAAAATTCCCTGAAGAGGTTTTTGTTTTTTATATTTATATGTTAAGTAATCTCACACAAGCAATAGTGCCGCTTTCCTAAATATTAGTGTGTGAGCACTGAGCGATATTCATTTTATACAACATTAATTTTAAACAACAGTTTGTTAAGCATATTGAGCGAGTAACATTTTTAGAAAAAAATACTGTTTTTTTTTTCAACAGCGAAAATAGAATCAGCTGTTTTGAATGAATCGCTTGAATGAATGATTCAATGAATCACTCATTAAAACAGAGACTTGCTGCCACCTACTGGCAGTTTTAGTGTCACATTTATTTATCCATGACAGGCCTAAACCAGCCAAGGTACCAACACAAAAAAAATAAATCAAAAAAACATTTTTATATTATTTGTTGTCAGTATGCTCACCCCTAAAATAAACTCAGATTTGCGAGAGAGAGAGAGAGAGAGAGAGAAAAAAAACAGAATTATGAAATAAAAAAGTCACGGAAAAACAAGCTTCCATAGGTGTCACTGCATGAGATGAAAAGAGGTAGAAGTCAGCTGTCAATCACTAAACTCTCTCTCTCTCTCAAGCGTTTCAGCAGCGTCTCAGACATCATCGAGAACCACCAGAAGAATCCTCTAGTGCTGGTCGACTCACAAAGCAACACCAAAGACTACACCAAACTCAGACACGCAGTCAAGCCCTGACAAATATAACTGCATAGAGAGGGTGCTGGCATTCAACTGTGTGGTAGTTTCACGTTTACCTTAATAGAGGATGGAAACAGATACGCTTGCAAAGCTGGCACTTGCTGCTACTTTTATAACTTATTAGGCTGAATGACAGGTTACGGGCCGAGACTCTGTATTTTTATTTTGACGGTGACAAAAGTATGTGTTGCGCATTTAAAAATACAGCATAGGAGAATGCGTCCTGTGCAAACCACCCCGAAAAACAGGGTGAAGAGCAATGTTATATAAAGATACGCAAATATGGTACAGCTGTAGAGTTTATACATGTATCTGGGTGTATGAATCGTTGTATAAACACATTTGTTTTATATTACAAGGTGTGTCGAGTAAAAAAAAAAAATTGTTTTGTGTATTATGTTATGTCAAATTATAATAATTTGCACTGTGCAACCCTAAATATTTGCATAAGGGGGAATATTTGTCACGTGGGGACTGGGTTTTATATTTATATTATACAAACATTTGTACACTAGAGGGGTCATACACAAGTACAGATTTATATTAAAGGATTCCCTGTTTTAATTGCCTTTTGAAATCGTGCAAAAATATTAAATATAATAAGATACAAATATTCTTTGGAGCTACTTTACAGGAGTATATCGTCTAAAACTAGTAAAAAACACGGCATAAATAAAAATATTTTCTACCACACAAGAGGCTACATTTGTTCAACAACGTGCCTGTAATTTCATTTACATCACTTTTTAAGTTTTAAGACACTTTTTAAACGCTACATAAATGCTTGTTTTTCTCTAGCAGAGGTTTTAAGCTTTCAGATCATCTATTAAGTTCGGATGAGTTTTGTGAATTCTAGTCTTGTATCTAAAATGTCATTATATTTTTGTAATATTTATTTTTCAGTATACAAGTGAAACTGTTAAAAACAACTGTTAAAACACACACATTAAGAAAGTCCGATATGCTTTTTCTTAAAGAGCTACATTTAGCTCAGACAAAAAAAAAAAAAAAATTGCAAAAATATTAAATATAATAAGATACAAATATTCTTTGGAGCTACTTTACAGGAGTATATCGTCTAAAACTAGTAAAAAACACGGCATAAATAAAAATATTTTCTACCACACAAGAGGCTACATTTGTTCAACAACGTGCCTGTAATTTCATTTACATCACTTTTTAAGTTTTAAGACACTTTTTAAACGCTACATAAATGCTTGTTTTTCTCTAGCAGAGGTTTTAAGCTTTCAGATCATCTATTAAGTTCGGATGAGTTTTGTGAATTCTAGTCTTGTATCTAAAATGTCATTATATTTTTGTAATATTTATTTTTCAGTATACAAGTGAAACAACTGTTAAAACACACACATTAAGAAAGTCCGATATGCTTTTTCTTAAAGAGCTACATTTAGCTCAGACAAAAAAAAAAAAAAAAATTTTCAAAATAATTATATTTCTTTATTTATTGATAGCTCTACAGGGTTTTTTTGTGGAGGCACTTCTACAATACAGCAATGCAAGGTGTCATTCACAGCTGTTTAGCGCAACACAGTGTATAAACTTCTATACAAACATAAGAGAGACACGTTTACTTTGGTTTCAAGTGAAGTGGATCACAGACCTGGAATAAAGGCCATCTTCAAATATTTCTGGAAAATTCACACCACTATTAAGTGCCTGAATCGCAGTGCAATCATCAAACTTTTCAAGTCAGTGAGGGTCTCGTTTTTACCTGGTGAAAAAACACTCAAGAAATTATTATCCTGATCAGATTACACTGATCCTAAAAAAAACCCCTTTGGCTTCATAAATGAGAATAAAAATATTTTTGGAAAATTCTGACTACTGAGACCAAAACATCACAGTTGCAACATTCTTTATCCATGGATAATACATTAACAATGCGATAATTAATTTAAAGTCTTTGATTAAACTCTTAATCAAACCCATGTGACTTATCAGCCGACTGCACGCTGAAAAAATAAATATAGACAATTTGCATAAATACAAAACATAACTTCACCAATGCTGCGTCAACATATGCTCTTGCATACAGATGTAGTTTAAACTAATGCTAAATATACCGGCAATGTGTCGAACAGAGGAAGCTAAACCAGATTTGTAGAATCCTACAAAGACAATCGACAATTTCTGTAAACATTTCAGTCACAAAGTCTTATGAAAGATGATTAGTAATGCAACAAAGTAGTAATGGTTAAACGACACATGCCCTAGTTTTAAACATCAAAAATAAAGCAAAAAAATAATGCAAAACGACATCAAGTATTAAGACGAACTGATGTTGTGATGTTGAGCGGAATAATACAATAGAGGTCTCTGCAGCAATCTGAGATGGATTTGGTCTGACCGTATCAAAACACAGTGATTTTTAATCTATTAGATAATGCACTGCACGTTTTCACATTGCGTAACGAAATAAATAATGCTTTGCTCATGTCAACTTGAATAGTCAGTCACCCGAAAAGGGTTTATTACTGTAAAGAACGAAATGGTGAAAGACGAAGATATTTTTCTCACCCTGAGATGTGCACAGTAACCCTGATTCTTCACAGCGCTTCTTAAAAATGAAGATGAATGCGTTTCTATCTGTTGAAGAGCTGGTTCCAGCCTCTGGTTGCTTCCATTAGATGTCTCTGTCCGTGACCCACCCAAGCTTCTTGGTTTGTGAAAAGCCGCCCGCAAAACCAGCATCTAAACGTCGGCTGCAGCACGATGCTCTCCGACACTGTCGGTACTACGGTGTACTTTCTTCCACACACTCGTTTGAGCCTCAGTTTCAAGCTGAACCTTTCTTTAACGGTCCCGTTTGGCCATTCTCTCCTGCGGTGGGACGCGTGGCAATTGGCGACGAGATTATGGCGAAAGGCATCGCAGTTAGACTCGGAAAGAGCTCGGAGAGTTTTACGAGAAAGTACGACGCGATGCACGGCGTCTTTGTGCTTGTGAACGACTTTCATGATGTTTGAGACCTCGGGGATATCAGTGTCGGGATGGTTGAGAACTATGACAGGCTGGTAGTCGCGTGGGATTTTAACGGATTGCGAGGAGCTGTGGGGAATCAGTCGAAGGGTCGCCGGAGCGTCTCGAGGCACCGGCTCCCAGAAGAGGACGGAGGCACTGACGTCTTCCGAGGCCCGAGTCGATCGCTTACTGACGGGAGAGTCCGCCGAGGACGTTTCTCCCATGCGCTTTCTGTTCAGCGATGCGAGAGGGTCGACTGACTCGCTGGATCCAGATGCTGTTTCTGGGACAGATGTGGAAGAGTTTGCATCATCAGGCAGGAGAGAGAAGATGCTGGCGTTGACCGGATCAGATCGCTGGCTTGCATCTGATGAGAACATGAAGCAGAAGAGCAACTAACATGCTTTAAAATGTCTTAACAAAAATATATATGAAAGCAAATACTGTATTTGTATTATGATGATGTTAACAAAGCAAAAATTTGACTATTTTAATTAGTATATTTTCATTCTTGCATTGAATGCTTTGAATGTTTGTGGCAACAATATATATCTTGGATAATGGTTACCATTAGCCATTTCGAGTAAAACATAAAAAAAAAAAATAGTCATGTCTATGGAAGCCCGTTTCCGCCACTGAATAAAAAATAAAAACGGTAATTTTTTATCTCACGATTCTGACTTTTTTCCTCATAATTGCGTGAAACAAACGCGCAATTGCGAGTTAAAAAGTCATAATTGTGAGTTATAAACTCGCAATTGCGAGACGTAGTCGCAAATCTGAGAAATAAACTCAGAACTGCGAGATATAAACTTGCAATTATGACTTTTTTTTGCGAGTTATAAAGTCAGAATTGTGAGATATAACCCCCCCCCCCCCCCCCCAAAACTGGGCTTTAACTCACAATTTATCTATTATTTCAGAAATTGTGAGAAAAAAAGTCAGAATTGCATGTTTTTTTTATCTCGCAATTGTGAGTTTAAATCTCACAATTCTGTGAAAAAAAGTCAGAATTGTGAGATAAAAAGTCGCAATAACCTTTTTTTTTTTTTTATTCAGTGGCGGAAACGGGCTTCCATACATGTCAGAGTAAATACATAAAGCTGAAAAAAATATTTGGATAATGTTTTTTTAAAACATTTTTAATTGCAATTTTTTTAATCAATCAATTTTTAAACAATCAATTGCTTGGAAAGATTGTTACAGAGCCATTTCAGAGGAAATACAATGTTTTGATACATACTTTTTTTTTAAAACAAAATTACTATATTTTACTTCTTGCATTAAATATTTTGAGTCTTTGTGGCAACAATAGATTGCTTAGAAAGGTTACCGAGCCATTTCAGAGTAAATACATGAAAAATATCTTTAAAATATTTTCATAAGAATTATTATTATTATTTATTTCAAATATTTAAAACACGCACACATACTGAAAATATATAATTTGTATTTATTATTATTACTTATTATTTATTATTCCAAATATATATTACATTTTAAATATATATATTGTACTTCAAATCTAAAATATGTTTCAAATGACGTCAGAAAGATGAAAACTAAGCTTTTTTATAGCAATTTGCTATGATAGGGTTCTCAAATGATTAATAATGTTTATAAGATCACTATTATTTTTTTATTTACCATATGTAGAACTATCTAGCATCAATGATAAACTAAATACTGTGAAAATCAGCTGCTAAAGACTATTGCGTCATACATGTGAATAACTAGGTTTGCACAGTGAACTTGAAGCTTTGACCGTTACAATATGGCGCATGATTTACATATAGCCATATCCACTTTAGATATCTATGTAAGCAAGCTTAGACCTATTGAACATCGGAACCATGAGTTTTCTGTCTGCTGGAAAGAGTAAAAATACACTGAATAAACACAGGGTTCCCACACCATTTGACTTGAGGATTTTCCATGGCACGGCTTCAATCATTTTATTTAGACCTCACTACCAACAAGCCAATAAAATATTGAGTATAACTGTAGCAAACAATATTCAACTAAACACAGTTACCTGTCTTTTAACAATTACCTAATATTTTCCATGACTATGGGAACCATGTCTAAAAGACAAAACACAACAAGTACACTTGATCCCAGAGTGCTCTGCATATTGCTTACCTCCAGCGTGTGTTAAATCTTTCAGACGCTCATCAGAGCTGGTGTGTGGCGATAACGTCCGATCCGCTCCCACTTCATCCAGCAAATGGATGGCTGTTGTTAAAGGCAGATCATCCGCCGTATGAAGCAGGTCTGGAGCGCTGCGGCTTTCTACCGGGACCAGAGAATCTCTGGGGTCCATGTTGTTTGTGCACTCGCCAGCATTGCCATGGAGTAACAGGCCCCCGGCTTCACTCTGACACAAAGACTCAGTCAGATCCTTCAGGGGAGATCTAGACGACGGACTCACGCAACCAAACCCAGAGATGGAGCATGTGTTTGGTTGATGGTGAATGAAGTTTGAATCCAGTGCAAGATTGTGTTCTTCATCAAACGCTGTTGTAAGGAGACGTGAACCACACCTTTCTTCCAAAGAACCTGTATCCGAGGTCAGATCACTATGACATCCTGAATCTCCTTGGCATGCGGTAAAGTTTTCCTCGGATTCACTGAGAGCTTTGTCTTGGCAGTCTTTCGCTCTTTTTGCACGGGGACTTCGAATATGTGAATTATGGTTGCGTGCATGTTCCTGATTGTTGCATCCATCGGTTTGTTGGCTTTTTATCCTCTCAACCACCGAAG